TATCTGCCCTAGCTGCAGAGATGTTGAGGCCTCAAAATTGAATAGTCGCAAGTTTACTTTTTTGAGAAAAATGGAAAAAACTGGAAACAGTTTATTCAAAAATCAACAATCGTAGTGTACACGTTTTGCAATCCTCATAAAGGTGCTCATAAATTGGTAGTAGAGCTTTAGACACAGTTGCTGGCAAATTATATACAAGCCTCAAAGTCGGTTTCCCATTTTTTTTGCGGGTTCTGCATGTTAACAGCACCAAGAATCTGGACAGAATGACATTACAAAAAAATTCCAACTTCCTGGTGTGTGAAAATTTGCAGAGAAATAAAAAAATACTTGCAGAAACCAAGTGAGTCCATTTTAAAAAATGAATATTTTTGTCACTTTTTGGACCCAAAGACCAGTCTGCCCCCTTAAAATGCTTGTTGGGAGTTCAGAATACAAAACAGAATGGCGAATCAGTATGCCCCGTGATCATAGACTCCTCATGAGTCACGAATAAAGCACAGAGGTGCCCGCACAGTGGCTTGAATGGGTGTTCTCTTCCCAGTGGTTCACAAATAATCAAGTAGGTTTCTTGCTACCTACAGACACCGATGTGCGTATTTGGAGAGCGACAGCTTTCTTAAGGGGGGATGTGGGTCTTAGAACGGTAAAACATGTTTAGAAAATCAATTTGTTGCAAAGCTTATTTTTAGGGCGTTTGTACTTCTGAACACCTACTCTCAAATTGCTAACGCTGAATTCGGGACGTAAATGCGATAAAATGCACCCAGGTCGCACTAAAATGCCCCAAAAAGGACGAAACATGTTCGAACTTCCCGCGCACGCTATGTGCGTTGCGGCGGACCGAGCGCCGCGATTGTGGGCTTGATTTGAAGCTGTTTTCTTTGTGCACATTTTGCGCCATCTCAAAATGGCATCGCTCAAGCACAATGGCCGCTGTCGCGGGTTTTCTGAAGGTCGTTTTCAGATCGCCAAGGTGACTGATGCATTATCTTTTTTCTTTGTGTTGCGTGTTGCCGCCGTGGCTATCCGTTTGTGTGCGCCTGTTCTCGCGATCGTGAGTGGTTCTCGATGCACCGAGTTTCAACTTTGATCCTGTACTTCACCACGATCGAGATGCCTGGAGACTCATCTGAAAACATCGAAGCGATGAGCTCTCAAAAGCCGTAAAAATGGCCTTGGAACAAGAAGGCACCGGCCACAAGCGCCCTTTAGCAGGTAGTTGCAGTTGCGACCGGACCCGTTGGATCCGCCGGAAACTAACGACTGTCTACCGGCGACGCCGTGGAACCAAGTTCAACGAGCGATACACTTCGGATTGATGCTGCGTACTACTCAACGACGGAGCAGGCACAGCGAGTTGAGGAATCGGCACAAACGAAGACCGTTTTGTCGAAAAAGTAGGCTACCCAAAAGTTCAACCTCCTTGGAGTCTGTGCTTATAGCCTTTTCGATCCAATTTTCGGCAGGGCCTACACAGCCAACGAGCTGGGAGTCAACGCGAGCACTAATAACACTTTTCGGTGAACAGCGACAGCCATGACGTCTAGCTAAAATTGAGGCAAACATCACAGGCAAGCAGAATGCTGTGCAAAAAAAAAGGAAACTTTTTTTCGGGCCAACGTGTTGACCACCGAGATAGAACCGGCCACATCTATTTTGTTTTATATATATATATATATATATATATATATATATATATATATATATATATATATATATATATTGCCGCATGTTGTTAGGCACCTACTGAAGTCTTGCGCTGCTTCCTGCTCTTATGAATTCTGCCAGACCACCTGACAAGCCAAACGCGCCATGCAACGCTGGCTGCACATGTCAACACACCACGCGTCGGAAAAAGAAGGCTGGCGGTTTTTCGAAGGAGCGGGACACGGCGAGACGCAAAAGAAGAGGTTGACGAGCTTTTGACTAGCGAGCTCAGGATAACCTTTGTGTACTTTGTCGACGGGCACAAGTTCGCCATAATTAAATAGCTGTTTTAGCTTCCAGCGTTGCATTAGTTCGTTACAATATATATATATATATATATTAATGAGATATAACAGACAGTAATGCCAAGGAATGTACAGGGAAAGTTATTAAAACCAATGGAATGTAAATAAGAAGAAAGAAAAGTGGATGAAAAAATTACCAACTGTGAGCAGGAATCGAACCTACGACCGTAGGTTCGATTCCTGCTCACAGTTGGTAATTTCCAAAAAGTGACAAAAATATTCATTTTTTAAAATGGACTCACTTGGTTTCTGCAAGTATTTTTTTATTTCTCTGCAAATTTTCACACACTAGGAAGTTGGAATTTTTTTGTAATGTCACTAAATAATTACCAACTGTGAGCAGGAATCGAACCTACGACCGTAGGTTCGATTCCTGCTCACAGTTGGTAATTTTTTCATCCACTTTTCTTTCTTCTTATTTACATTCCATTGGTTTTAATAACTTCCCCTGTACATTCCTTGGCATTACTGTCTGTTATATCTCATTAATATTGTGTTAAAACACGGAAAAACGAGCCCTTAGGTATACACTTCTTTCCCTTATATATATACGGCCTTTTCAGAGCCACCTAAACGATACATTCGCGACCCTCTGCATCAGCAAAAAATACCTACAAAAGGGGGGCATTTTTGCGGGCATTAGTTTTTCCGGTCTAATGCTCGATTTTCCGGATATTTTCATGGTCCCTTGAGGGTCTGGAACACAGCAACTTATTACCTAGGGCAGCATGCTGCCTAACAGCTTGTCGTTTGAGCCTTATATATACCCCACAGCTTTTCCAGAACCCCTCAACAGCTTGTCATGGTGAAGTTCTGATAATGCTTCCCACATTGAAAACTTTTTTTTAAGTTATTCCAATCGCGGAATAAGGCACTTTTTTGTTTTGGAAACGTGCATAAAATTTGTGGTAAAGTTCCTTATAGAAAATTTTGCAGTGCGTGTCGAAACTTCAGGTCTGGTTTTCTCAGCTTCACATTTTTTGCCAACCTGACCAGCCTTACTGTACATTACATCAAGTTTTTGTGAAGCAATTGTTCTTATTTTTATATCGCTGAACTCTTAAAAAAGAGGACTGTGGAGCTATGCTCATTTTTTGTGGCTAAGAGGGACATATGAAATGCTATGAACGATAACCCGAGCTAGTTAAATTTCAAAATGGTGGGGCATCAATGCAAATGACATTTTTTATTTGATAATGTATCTCAGTGACAATATAAATAGCATAGCTCCACTTGGCAGATCTTTGGCTACAGCTGCATCCTAAACAGAACCGAAAAATATTGAGGGAAAGCACTTTAATAACCTGTAAGAAATAACACAATTGGACTCCACTTATGCTCTCACAATTTGACAACTAGTTGGTGTATATTAAAACAAATTATATTTCTGAAAAGAGAAGGGAGAAATACCTATACACACTTAATTTTCTTACAGTATGTCCAATAAAAAGAATTTTCATTTCACGACCAGCCTTTCCCTTTAAATGCAAAATGCAATGAAAATGCGCTTGTCTAAATGAATTGGTAGCTAATGGGGGTACCCCGGGAGCGGATTGAACGCGTTCTGTCGCTCACGGGACCAAGTTTGAGAATCCACACGCCAGAGCATCCAGGAGACTCATTGCATGCAGGGCGACGACTACATGTTCACACGACAAGGTTCGTGGCAAACGCGCGCATACGTGACCGCATGCAGCGTTGACATGAAAGCCACAGTGACTGCAGAAACGCACTGCCCACAACAAGAAACCCGAGCCAACCGCGCTGATCATGCAACTCCGTTAGGGTGGCCAATTCTGTTTTTTGGCTAAGCGAGAGTGGCACCAGAAGACAGCCTAGCTAGTAGAAACAGCACGCTCGATACACAACAGCACACTGTCATGCAAATTTACAACAACCCACAGGAGATTATGGTGGCACCACGAAGGTGCCAAATAAATGACGCGCTTAAGCACGTCTTATTCTCTTGGTATTTCTCATGCTGCTTGGAAAATGATGTAGTCAACTGTCTTTTTCCCCCTGAAGCTGAGGTTAGCAAGAAAATTCTTGCTTTTGAGGCTGCTTGGAGCAGTTTGGCACAAGTTTCGCAATTTTTATTCTTTTGGAGCAGCTCTGCGCAAGAAAATGGAAATGCATAAAAAATGCGCAATATGCACAGCTGCCACCTCTGCATAAGCATACATAAGCTCCTAAACTTCCATGAAAATCGATGACAAATTTAACACCTTTAGAAGTGAGCCTTCTGCAACTGTACATTAGCACACAAGATATACGAAAGGTAATGTGTGACAAAGGGACTAATCTTGCCTTTTAGTCAATTCTCCACGGAAAGCTTTCAGCTGGCTCACAAGTACGAAATGAGAACGCACTTGACGGTGCAACAAAGTCGAAACTGCCCGCATGGTGGGTTGGAGACCTTAAGAACAGCTTATCCTGTACATGACTGTAATGAGTCAGCCTGGCCATTCTCATGACAAAACAAGGAGGTCGAGCCTCCTGGTACTGTCGTGGGCATACTGGACAGACACAACTAGATTGTCATAAGTTGGTAATCTGATGAGCCTTTCGAAGCGGTCATGCGTAATAATGGGCCCTAGTGAACCACAGTCCCAGAGAATGTGTTCCAATATGCATGCATTTTTGTTGCAGGCTTTGCATGTAATTTCTATTTCTTCCACTCTGTACCACTCCCAGATATGAACCGGTAAATAGTGCGATTTTGTAGTTGTCAAAGTGTTATGGCTTTGGTACGCTCAAGTTTGCGTGGGGATGCGAACGAATTCTGCTCAGTCCAGTGATTTCATTTTACGTGGTCAGTTTATTTGCGTGTAGTGGAATCAACCCACCGGAGTCTGGGCCATTTGTAAAAGCGTGCCACTTTCTTCCAGCAGCAGACATAAGCTGGTAATGACGAGTTGCAAGGGTGTAGAAGCGTAAGTGGCAAACGTAAGTGGCAAAAGGGTTGGGCACAGTTTTGCAACATACCCGCTGGTTCTGCCAATTGGACAGCTGCAGGAGCAGACGCTTGCTTAGCCCGTCCCCTCTGGGCACCGCCTCCACGTTGTGCCTTTTGTTGATGCTGCTGCGTTTGCTGCTGCGTTTGCTGCTCCTTAGCCTGCTTGCGCTGCGCTTCGGCATGTCGCTGCTCTTCTGCTTGCCTGTGTTGTTCATCAGCCCGTCTTTGCTGCATTGACTGAGCAAACGATGTCTCCCGATTCTCGTCATCTGAAAAGACAAACAAGGAGGGAAATGTCTGGGCACGGCTGGCTCGTTATGTCAGAAAGGTTTTAGATAAGAGAGATACTACAAAATTTCAAGCGAACACCCCAGCTTCATCAAGTGCCCCCTCCAATTTCATTCCGCAATTTCTAATTTCCATGCACATTCGGGAAAGTACCACAGCACCCTCCACTAAATGCTCGGCACCCTGGCCATGCCCCGCCCCCACTCATCCAACACTGGCCTGCATGAACTGCACTACACATTCTGCGTCACATTTATCACAAATATTCGATCCTTTGATTTTTTTTTTCCACACAATGATAGCACTCTTGACTTAGCGCTACACACCTGTGACAATTTTCATGGTTCCATGAGCAGAAGCAAGCATCCCCTTAGAGATCATTATTCCAGAGCGTGCCTATGATGCTGCATTTACAGGGGTGTAATAGCCGAAATACAATTCAAAGCAATTTTTAAAGCAGCAAAATGTTACTTTTGGAGATTTGCTAAATTTGATGGAAGGTATAGGGAAATTTTTTTTTTATCTCAAAAAGCCAAATTTGGAGCAGTATCAAAAAGAAGGCTTACATTTAGAAAAAAAGAAATGTACAATCCATTGAACATCCCCTAAATTGTGCAGAGTGAATATGAGAACTTCCATTTCAATAAAACTATTTTGAACCACTTCACTTGGCAAACAATGACCAGGTCCACATTAGCATTTGCCACGCCGTCAAATCCTTTGACAGACTGAGGGGATTTGCCAAGCTGGCGACCTCAAGGGTGCAAAAATAACAGGCGTACAGTTTTGTTTGATTTCTTTAGGCCAGCACAAATGTTACACAGTGCTCTAAACAGTTACCAGTAACTTTTTTAAATGTCCGAACATACTAGTGCTCACAATTATGCTGCGTATACATGAAGAAGCTGTGCTGTGTCCTGTGACCAGGGTTGCCAAATGTCAGAGCAAAAATAGCTAGATTGCAGGAAAGAAGTAGTCAGAAATAGCTAAAAAAATCCACCAAAGAGCTAAAAAATAGTTAAACTATTTTTTAAAACAATTTTCGACATAACTATGCAAGGCATGCATGAATGAAGAGAATAGTGTTTCTGCTTCGATTCTAATAATTTAGAGCATGTGGGGTTTTAGCAAAATGTCAAGGCTTGCACGTCCCTCGGAGGGGAGGTGGGAATGCGTCAGAGCTCTGTAAACGTCATAGATGTGTGAATATTCAAAAAATTTCAATAAGAAATCGAACACCGCATATTAAAAGGAAAGATTTTTTCGGACATTTCTTTTCGGACATTTCTTGAATAACCAGCACCGAGGAGGTGACCTCGGTGGAACAACACGCTGGAAGAACGACGATCACTTTCGTTGTTTAATTAGTGAATTGTCAAGGTGCCTCTAGTCCAAGGTGCATGCAAGATGCATGCAGGTCAGGCGACACAAAGGTCAAGGTTTAGTGAGAATAAGCTCTGCTCATCACTGGGTGAAGGATTTCTCGCTTTAATTTCCTGTGTCACTGAAGCGAATGTGTCTTCAATGCTCCATTATTTGCATCAGATTCCCATGATTCATTCGTGAAATATTGTTTGCCTTTCACGTCTTAGTCTGTGAGAAAGCTGACGAGAAACCTTAAAGTGGGCTTACATAAAGCTCACATTTAGCAATAAAAACAAAAAAAACTTAGAAGTCGCGCTTCCATAACCTTAAAAATGTGTGCGAGAGACTCTTCCTCGAAAATTGTAAAAGGGCAGAGGTATAAAGCTGTGGAAGTAAACGGCCATAACTCCTGCGGTACATATAATTATTGGCCGACATCAGCCATTGGCAGAGCATCATCCAAACCGCCATAACTCTGGCGGTAAATGTAATTATTGGTCAACATCGGCTATTGGCAGAGCATCATCCTTTGCCGCTGAATATGACGCTATGATGCAGATTTCTCAGCCACATCACTTGGAAAGCTGTATTCGTGGCATTTTTACTTGTGTGTGTCATGACATTTTGTCCCAAATTAGGAAGAATTAGAGTAGACGAAAAATCGTGCGTTTTGTCGGTGGCAGTTAATTAATTTTTCTTGCTCTTAATTCCTTTCAATTTTCGACAAAATCTACAGTTAAAAAACACAATGTCCCTTATATTTTCCTAGGATGAAATTACCGAGTTTCATATACAAGTATTTCTCGCTCAGCACTAATAATTCAGAAAATGTCAATACACTACAGCTATAGTTATTGAATATGGCTAAACTTGGAGCTAAATTTTGGATATAAATGCTAGAATAGCTACTCGTAGCTAACTGAAATTTTCAGTAGCTAGCAGAGTTTAAAAGTAGCTAAATTGGCAAGGCTGAGTGACCAATGCTAAAGGTCCCTTCCAGATCTTAAAACACTTTTGCGCACGTCACCAGTGTACTGCAGCGAAGGTGGCTGAAGCAGCATTCTGCACAGATGATAGAACAAGGCCGAGAAGTTTTCGAACAGCTACAATTCTGCCCCCACATTTTTTATTTCTTTTTTTTTTTTTTCACTGTGGAATTAGGTTTAAGGCACAACTTCAAACGTTACCTAGTCAAACATGCTTGCCAGGCACGTTTGACTAGATAAAGAAACACCGGCACACGCCCATTGGCCCGGCGAAGGCTGCACTTATCTATGACATGCGCCATTGGGGCTCTTCGATTTTCAGGCTTCTGGCAGCTCTCTAGCTAGAGGGTCAGTCAGCTAGTTCCGGTCTGGACAGGAAACAGTGTCGTGTTCGTGTGTGGGGAACCTGAGACAACCCGAAGCTGCCCGAAGATCGCAAAATCGAACGCTGGGACAGGCAGCGTAAACGTAAACAAACTCTACCGTCATGACAGCAAACGAAACAATGCGCCGCGTGTATATTGGTTTTTTTCTGCATTGTTCGCTTGTAAATACGTAGCTAAGCTCGTTAAAAAGCTGAAATAGTATCCTCAAGTGTACGCATCTGGGTACGACTTCGTACGCTCGCACGATCACTCGCCGCGTGCGCCAACGAAACAGCCAGCTGGCGCACGCCGCCTCGAGAACGATGCAAGGTGAGGTGCCACGACGGTGGTGGCTCAACGAGCTCACGTCTTTTTAGTACATGTAACAGTCACTGCACAACACGACGCGAAAGTGATTGTGTCCCCAAAAGCACTTGAAGATATATACCTGCTCAGCTATCGCATATCATATGTGGCCAACACACGTTGACCAACTTACGTTTTTGTCTGAAGTTTATGATATGCGCAGGTATCGGTACCACGAGTGCACGTCGCATATAAAATAAACATTTGCATGACACGTTCTCAACCCATTTTTAGAACTTGCCTTGGCCTGTTTTCCAGTCCCAAGTGGCACTTAATGAATGTCATGTATATCAGCTTTGATTCGACCTACTATGTTGTACGTACTGCGCTGCATTATTACGAAGAGGTGAAAAAAGAGAAAGCCAAGGATGAAATGGGCCACGAAAGAATGTATACATTTCTGAATCCATTCTCTCTTTTTTTTTTTTTCCCACGCCGCATCGCATATTATCATACCATATATGCAGGCTGATAGATAGAAATGGGTTCGCACGCTTTTCGCGACCAGTGAGCATCACCAACAGTCACGATCTGGGGCCTTCTATCACCATCGAAGATCAATCGAGTAGTGAGGACAGAGGTTCTAAGAGGTTCACGTACGCAAACATACGACAGAGCGAGCTAGTTCGATCACAATTGTCTTCGCTAAGTGCACAGAAAGCAGGCACAGCTTCACAAACGACTACTAGGAAAGAAAAAAATAGCTCTAAAGTTGTCTCTATGCGTGCGTACGAATGTGCACTAGGTACATAACCTTTAAGGCATGTGTACGACGCATTCAACAGGCAACAGTTCACCGCGTTGTTCACAGGAGGAAGCTTCACGGGAAATATAACAAATACGATGAACAGTAGCTTCAAACACTCGCCGCCACTTGTAATCGCCTCATCTCGCAAGGCGGAACAGGCTTTAGAAAATAACGCTACGCGTAATGACAAGCGAAGGCACAGTCCTCAAGCGCCCACATTACAATCCATCGAGTCCTCCCAAATATGGCACCAAGCGCACAGCGTACCTTTTCGGCGTTTGGTAGCTCGAAACCTGCCCAAAACCTTCCAGAAAGCTTCAACGACTAAATTGTCCTGGAAACGTCTGGCGACCCTCGGGCTCCCCGCGGGTCGCCAGAACGTTCAACCCGACAAAAACGAACGCCAACCGGAAGTGCGCCGCGGGGGGGGGAGCAGCCAGAGAAAAACGAACGCGCTCAGGCTGGCTCCGGCAGCCCGCGGATAGCCATAACTCGAAAATCGAAGAACCCCATTGCTATGGCAACTAAATGTGGTCGCTGACGACGTCAGCATTTGGAGCTCGTCGAGTTTGTTCGTGTGCAGTAACAGTGGCAAACACTTCCAGCTTTTTTTTTTATTATTCGCTGCTGTCAGCGGATCGAGGGCCACGCGGTGTTACTTTATTTGGCTAAACGCATTTGGCGAATGACATACCGTGGTTTAGGGCAAGGGTCAGTGCGCCTTTATCCCTGAATTGATTGAGGACAGAAACTACAGCTGGCCAGCATGGCCTTCATTTTTGCTGAAATTAGCGCACAGGCATACAGCTGCAGCGTGGTGCGATTTCGGGAGATTTCAGGGTTTTAACGCAGCTCAGTGAAAAAATAAGGAACTGAATCAAATCGACCCGATTGGTGCAGCTGTTGCACACCTGAATTCAATAGAAGTAATACCTCAAAGATTTGTGTTTGTTGCTTGAAGCTTGGCTCATCCTCGCAGAAGTGCTTACCATGATATGACTGCATTGTGAGAGTTTCATGTATTTGTTAATTGCAATGCCCCTTCCGTGCAATGAACAAGAGCTAGCAGACTTATGAGCAAGTCCACATGCACTGCATTTTTTTTTTCTCATTTGAAACTTTGCCGACGCCATATTAATTTCGGTGCCATA